CACCAGAAGGGAAGCAAGCGAACACTTGGGCATCTAGTCACTTTTTTCTCCCTATCCGCCACGCAGAAATTGGATTGGGCTGTCAGTATTCAAAAGGCTTACCCAACGGTCAAACGTACCTATGAGGATTGCCCCATAGAGGCGCGAAAGTCCTAGAGAAGAGACGCGAAACAGGCTTTCGCTTGGCGCCAGTTCAGCCGATCGCAAACTTATCGCCGAACCGATGGTAGTTATGACCCTTTGTGCTCTTGAAAGCACACTGCCACAAACGTCCGCGACTCCGGATTGCAGCTTCTACTCAACGACCACAGACACCACGACTACTAAAGGCAGTGATCCTCGGGAGAAGGCAAGCCTCGCGTGGACGCAGCGTCCAAAGTACGTACAGCCGTCATAGCTTATTTAGCTAACAGACGATAAAGGCGCAGCAGTGAACTCCACACCCAAATCACAACTTTTGAGCTGGACTGGGTCGGATGTGCAGATATACAAGCGACGAAGTCTACCGAAAATCAACCACAAACGTCAACCTCGACACTGACGAATGGTGCGAGAATTCTACTGTTACTGAGAATGTGAAGCCTGCCAGTCTCCGGCTCCACCCCATCAAAAGTGGTCTCTCCGAATGCAGACACAGTCGTCAACCATGACCCCTACAGCCAAAGTTACAAACCTGACCACAGCGAAACGGAAAATCTCTCGTATACCCAGTTGTCCACGCTGATCGCGGGTGACTCCAGTGTTCAGATAAACACGAAAGAAAGGCGACTGCAGTCAAACAAGCCTCATAAGATTCACCAAATCAGAAAACTGCTGGCTGGTTTCAAGGTGCAGTCCTCTGCAAACACAAGCCTCATGGGAGCGCCATCCAGAGGAATACTTCTTGGTGCTGCCACCCAACACACAGGGACTCACAGAGACACCTTTCCGATCACATCGCACCAAAATACCCAAGAAACCAAATGGACACACGTGCCTCAAATCGTTGAACAAGAGCAAATCTAGTTTCCAAAATGCGGTACTGAAAGACCTACAAGAAGCAGCGGCCGAAATTTTTGCCCATGAAGGGAAAAACGATGCCTTTCAAAGGTAAAAGTTCTGCGAAAACCGGACTGCCATGGGGCAAAAAAACCATGCAAACAAAAAACAGCTCTCGGAACCACCAAGGCAGGGAGCAGACAATATGCCGCGAAGGAATCTTTGGAACCTTGGTCTCGAACCCGGCGTACAACTATCAAACCTGCTAACCACCCTGGCAGCACACCTCTCGGCTCCCCACCTTCAGAGACAACACAGGCAGTTTTGAAATGCTTGTCTACAAACGGCCTAAGTCTTTTCAACAAACTTCGTGATGTTAAACAGTCAATTTGCCTTGTACATTAGTTCATAATCGTACTTACAGAAACCTGGTTTACACCAAATGTCTCTGACGCAGAGACTATCAAAAACGGCTACTCTGTTTCTCGAGCTGATTCAAAATGAGAGAGAGCTGGTGGGGTTGCTTTATTTTTGCATGTGGTCTTGCTCATCCCGATTGTCCTCTCCGGTACCACTCATGCACCTTTTTGCGATGCACTATGGATTCAAATTCCGCTGCGCGGGTTTGATTCTCTCCTTCTCGGCGTGGTCTACCGTTGCCCTCAAGTCCTCCAGAAGATGACCAATTCCTCAACTCTCCTCCAGCTACCACTTCACTCGACTCTTGCTGGAAGGTGGTCTCGAGGCTCCAAAGGCCTCCTGGACGGAACCCCAGTGCGTTGGATCAAGTGGACTTTTTGCAGCGGCGAAAACCAAAATCATTCAACAGAGCGCTTCGACTCAACATGTCGTCGCACCCAACACTAGATACCGCTCAGGTCAACTAAAATAATTCCTGGATTTGGTCCTCACCAACGAAGGCACTTCGTCGATCAAGTGATAACGCTCCCCTGGGACATAGTGATTACTGTGCGTTGACCTCTGATTTCAACTGTTACTGGGCCAGAAATCCCGAAACTCAAACGTGGATTCGAAACTTCTGCCATGCAGACTTCTGGGACCAGTTTCAGCGTAAGGATTATACAGGACCATTGTTTAGAAAGTTCACGAGGCTGAAGTGATGTTCGTCCCAAAAAAATCTGCACGCAGTCGGATGGAATGCAAGCTACCAAAAAGGATTCAACGTCTTCTGGAAAAGAGGTCTCAACTATTTTTTCGAAGGAGTTGACCTGAAGACACTGAAGATGAGCTGGGGTTTCGTAAAATGCGGAACCGATGAAAATCAGAAATCCACCAGTGAAACATACGGAAACAATCGACCATTCTAGATATCGTCCAGAAAAACAGAAATGTGCTGTTCGAATACACGAAACCTCGTCGCAGAAATAAACCAATCTCGTTCTCCTTGTGGGGAAGAAACGGAGAACCCACGAGTGACCCAGTAGTGGTATCTGAAGTCTACACAGAACACTATGGAAATATATATACAGCCCCAACGCTCTCGTCACACCTAAAATTGTCAATGCGTAACTACGAACGGCCTCTAACCGATTTGGTATTCACGGTAGAGGATATTCGTCAAATCTTGCACAAGGTCAGACGGATCATTCCGAGTGAAAGTAGGCTCGATCTGCTCTTCTCCAGCGCCGGTCGCCATTGGAGTTCCTGAAGGCTCCGTTCTGGTACCACTGCTATTTCTGGTAAACGTCAACGACCTTCCAGATGTTCTTGCGAGTCCATGTCTACTTTTTGTGGACGGCTTGAAATCCTGGATTTCCAATGCCAGTACCCTCCAAATGGATGTAAACGCTGCGAAGCAGTAGTCGTTGGACTGATGCCTTTGTCTGAATTACGAAACGTGCGTCCATATGTCGTTTTGAGAAGACTCAGCGAACACCTTTGTCATGCATGGTGAGATAGGACCAGAAGACATCACGAGGATAGATGCCAAAAAAGGATTTGGGCATCTGGGTCTCCTCAATCTTGCCCTTCTCTGTGAAACCGGTTCAAAAGGCATTGGCCGTTCTACGGATGATTTTGCGTACCTTCTCCCGTATTACCCGCATGCATTTCCAAATACTCTATGGGGCCTACGTCAGACCCCTCCTGGAATACGCCAACCAAGTTGTCTACTCAGGATGCCCGTAGGACATGACCCTCACTGAGCGTGTCCAGCGAGCTAGTAACCTACAGTTTCCACTCATGTTTATGCAAATACCCAACTCTTCGTCAGTAGCACTTACAAGCTTGACGTCTAATCTCGTGAAACAGCTGATAGCTGTGACTCATACTGATTCTATATTGACGGTTTTTTGAACCACGTGAGCTGCAAATCGCTCACTTCATGTTTTAGTAGGGAAGGCCTATAGGAAGTCCAAATGGTTGCTGTATAAAATTGATAAAACCCATCGTCAGCCTGTCAGTTCCCTCCTGTTCTGAATTTCCAGCAATCTCAATCCATAACTTTAACACACTAAATTGGACTTGACACTACATACCTATGCCTGATGAGCCCTGAAATTGGTGAAGCTGCTTTTAGACGAGAATTCAACAACCTAATTAGTAGTATATTTTTGTAACGTACTACTCATAAGGTTGCTGAAAATCCGTCGACAGCCCACGACCGGTTTCCCTCTGACTGGTTTTCGTAAACCAATTCGATTTATTGAAGTCAACGGTCATCGTCCTACTTTGGAAAAAGTACTACTTATTAGCGAATTTACACTTATTTGCAAATTAATTTGTTTTTTCGAGGGACTCACCTGGAACCCAGTTGAATCTCTCGTTTGTGATGTTTTCAGGCAACTGAATGTGCTGCACCAGGCCGCCTCATGTTTCAGTCGCTACGATATTCGGGATTCGCCCCCAAAAAGGCGAAACCGGTCGTGGGCTGTTGACGGATTTTCAGCAACCTCATGCGTAATACATTACAAAGATATGCATGTTTCGCAATATCTTGAATATCGTAGCGAGTGAAATATGAGGCGGCCTGGTGCAGCACATTCAGTTGCCTGAAAACATCACAAACGAGAGATTCAACTGGGTTCCAGGTGAGTCCCTCGAAAAAACAAATTAATTTGCAAATAAGTGTAAATTCGCTAATAAGTAGTACTTTTTCCAAAGTAGGACGATGACCGTTGACTTCAATAAATCGAATTGGTTTACGAAAACCAGTTAGAAATAGTACATTGTTTTAATTATGAGGATCGAGATCCGTTTAATATGTGCTGCAATTCTTTTTTGGCCTCAGGCTGTTTCACATCAGATACTGGAGCTGTATACTGGTCTTCGACAGCACCTTGGACAATCGATCTGGTGTGCTTCGCTTGTACCAGCATCCACCGAAGCGAACCGCTCAATGTATTTTCCACTTACCCTTCAGGTAATTGACCCGGAGGAAATGGATAACCTACCAGCAAGAAATACCTAATGGATCTTAAGCAGACAGGCTACCTGACCGTACAGTCGAATTACCACGCACGTAATAAGCTGGCAGGTGCCGACACACGTTTGACACAAAGGCAGGCAATCTTAAATACATCCATGGGTAGCCTTTCTAAAGTAATGTGACGCAATTATGAATCTATCTGATCAGTTCCCTTATGTGCAGGACTCATGTTTCACAATACATTTGGGCAGTTGGAAATAACGTTGTACGACGGAGTGAAGGGGAAAAAATAGCATCCGAGGGTATTTCGCGTGCCTACCTTGAATTCGCATTAGTCAGTCATCTATTATCTATTGTGTGGGCAAATTCCGCGTTCTACTCTCTGCAACTGCAATTCTTTATACTCACATAGCAGCATGCGCTCATGAAAGCAAAGTATAGGAAAAATCTCCTCTCCGTAGGAATTACAATTTTTATTTGTCCATCTTCGGTAAAAACACTGGCCATTATGAGTAGCAACAGGAACCGCGTCACACAATCAAACAAGCCGACTTCAATCGAATTTGCCGCCCCAATCGTTAAAAAAACGAACGACCGCTACCATTACTACGCGAGGTTATGTATGATATTTCAAATGGCCGTCGTGCTGATACTGAGAAAGAGCGTGTACAGGCATGCACGTAATTACAAACAAACCGGTGAGACGTGAGGGAATCAAAGAGATTCGGCAAGACACCGCCGTCCAGCGCATCGGCAAGAATTGTAGCGTTATTCTGTGATAGAGAGAGAGGGAGATTCAATAGTTAGCCAGGCTGAGTGCGAAATTTGGTTGTGTCCGCACAACCTTTATGGGTCTGAGTTTAAATGGCCTGTTTGTCTGATCACCTCTGGGCAGCTTTATAACGGCGGTCCGTGCAACCAAGGAGAAATTGTCAAATCGCGGAGTGATATATGTTTTGCTTGGCGACGTCTAACTATAGTTCAACTGTAGTCCATTTTGAGCACAAACGTGCCGTTAATCCTGACTGTATTGCTGCGCCAGATTAGGACACAGGAACTATATGCCAAGTTGGCTACGGTGTCTTTTTAGTTCATGTAAACTTTGACGAGAACGACTAGTGTGTGATTTACAACCAACGAGCTGTTTGGCACATTTAGCTTAGACTGTTCACCAGTTCCACTCACTTTCACCTGCCGGCAAATGGAACTATAAAGTCAAGTCTTCATTTCGCGACGAGTGGGTAAATTGATTTTGTCTGACCTTGGGTCGATCAACTTTCAATGTTGAATCCCGAGAAATTACGGAGAATCCGTCCTGACATTATGGAACGGTGTGACCGTCACTTTGAATTTCATTTCGGCAATAGAGAATAGCAATTCAAGTAATTTTACTGCTTCGATAGGAGTCGTACCGGTGACCTTGCTTTTGTCGGTGCTGTTGCCACAAATAAACGATCACTACACCTATCCACGATTGACTCATATAATCTGAACACATGAAGACCGAAATATATTCCAGCAACAAACCTGAAAGTCTATAGACCCTAAAGGTGCTTCGAGGCCTTATTATAGAACTTTTTGAAGTAGGAGAATATGATGTTATTATCAGACGTTTAGATTGCCCGGAGCAACCCTGTTCCATGTATTGTGGAGATCCTTGAAGAATGTTGCGCACGGCAACTGAAACGTCAGATTATAACGTCTTACTCCGCTACGCTGCGTTTTAACTTTAGATTAATTCCAGATTGTACAACACATGGTGCTCAATCTTTTTGACACTGTCCTAGCCGGCCAGGAACTCCTAATTTCGTCAGAGGCGTTTGACTTTATGTGGCCTAACTGGTAATCAGAATTAACGTATTGTAACAAACAAGTGCATACTCAATTTGAACTGGAGAATGAAATTTGACGATTGTTTCAACGTGAAAAGTATTGACTTTCGGGATCACCCTATTCAAGGCTTCATCCACGACCTATACATACAATAACAACGGGCTCACTCACATTACTCAATGAATATCAGTCCTGTAAAACAACTTCATGACGAAGGTATACACCGATGGGCAATCCTAGTGGTGTTCTGCACTTAAAATTCCGGTGAGTCCACACCAAAGGGAAGCTTCGCTTTTATTAGAGATCATCAGTAGTGCAAATCCTTGGCCTTTTCCCTCAGGAAGGAGGTCTGGACCTCACGGGTGCTTCTACTATTAGAGGAGTTTGACATTTACCGGAAATGGCGAACTCATCCATAGACATGCGGTGTCTCTACTTGACGGCTGGTGTCTCGCACACTGGGCAAAGTTGGTCACACTTAAACAACCTCACTCAAATGGGTTTGTACGAATAGTCATATTGTATCTAGTGCTGACTGATCCTTTTAGGTTTTGCCGCACTGTTTTCGGCAAATTGTTTGCTAACGTGACTCCTGACCAGTAGTTCCAATTGTAGCACTGATTGATGTGGCTATCTGAATCATGGATTGTGGGGAACACGTTCGTGCATGTCTTCAAACACCGATTAAGATATCTTGACATTCAACGTCTGCATTGGACCAGTGTTGACGCTGGACTCGAAAACACAAATGTTTTCAGCTTGTGGCATCAGAATGAGAGGAGACATACTATCTACAAATGTGTCTGAACTAATAAATAACCTAACCAGCGGCTTTGAGCGGAAAACTTCAAAGTTCGCATGTCTGCATATCCACAATGCCAAAACACGTGCTCTCGATCACCACTGACACACATCTTTTTTAACAGTTTCCAATTCTTCGGCAAATCTTGAGACAAAGTACCATGAACCTACAAGAAAATAAATAATACGCGAACCGCAGCTCTGTTGGCTTCACTATAACTAGACGTTTCAAGCCCCAACTGAAGGGAAATGTGCACCAAATTCAAAGTTCTATTCCGTTTCAAAGGACACCCATTTCTCATAAAGGAAACTACTTACAAGGTTGCTGAAAACTCTTCGACAGCGCACGACCGGTTTCGCCCTTCTTGGGGCTAATCAGGTAGGCGCAGTCCCCGAGTTTCCGTCAACCTTATGTTCTACTTGAACCCAAATTAGACTGTTTTTGAGAAAAACACTCATTTGCAAATCAATTTGATTTTCACGGGAGACTCAACTGAATGTCTTGTTTATGATATTCCTTTATGAAAATATACTGCGATGTCTCGAATATCGTGCCAACTGAAACATGAGGCGGCCTGTGTGCAGCACATTCGGTTGTAGAATATCATAAACGGGAGATTCAGTTGAGTCTTTCGTGAAAACCAAATTGACACCCATTTCTTTTTGGTATTGACAGCCTTCTAATTGTAATAAAACGATGAGCTGAGTGAAGGAATTCAAGTCATATTGATCGTATATTTTCTGAAAATTCCTTGACAGCCCTCTACTTGTTTCACCATTCTTGGGGCTCGCTGGATAGGCTTGGTTCCCTAGCTTTCCAACTGAACACCTAACTGAATTACACTAGTTTGCAAACTACTTTGTAGTTAACGGGGGAGACACAAATGAATCTCACGATTACGAAATCAGTATCTTCTATCAGGGGGCTATGCCTACCTGGGGACAGTTGTGGGTTGTCGAAGAGCTTTCAGAGTGGAGTGTCGTGTCAAGAAGGTACACTTTGATGTCTCGAATGTCTTTCCAGCTAAAACATGAGGTCATCTTTGTGCAACACATTCATCTGAAGAATATCACACATGGGAAAGTTAATACACATGTAATTCGCAAGTTCAAGTCACCTTCACTCGACCAAAAGTTATATTTATTGTTCAGAGGCCTGATGCTGGATACCTCGATCCTGTCTACACTGGCACGACGAAATGAGCTCACATCAATAATGTTATCCGATCCACCCTAGATCGGATGAGGAACATTAATCGCTTCTTCTTACTGTTTATCTAGACTTATTTGATCGCAGTTCACTCAGATGCACCTTGAATGAACAGAAGTAGGACAGAAGAGAGGAGGAGAAGGATAGAATTACGAGTTGTCATTTGTCCAACATGGTAAGGTTTGGAGTACAGGTGAAATATTCAAGCAGCCAACGGTTTCCAGTCCCTCATGGTCTGCTCTCAGCGTGCATCTGCTTCAACCGTCCAAATAAAGCAGGCGTCCAATGATGAAGAATGGTCTTATGTTCCTCACCCCCTTCTGCTGGTGACAATGACCATGATAAGCAAGCGCCACTTCACACGTTAATTCATGCTCCCTGGTTGAAATATGGGAGCTACACCGCAACGCGATATCCGGAGATCATGCAATACCAAGATTTCTTGAAGATTAATGACTTCCTTCTTCATAAGAAGTGTATAATTGCTCTTGCGCTGTCTCTTACTACCAACATGATTTGGCGGTCACGCTGTGTGCGTGTGTGCACGGTTTCCTGCAGTGGTCAGAATGCAGGCAAAAGAATGGATTCTTCAAATTAACGCCGACTCCGATGGCGCTTTGATGCCTTACTACTGTCATCAACGTTACCACAACGGAAGTACTTTGAAGTTACCGTCAGACAAAACCTCACCATGTGCCTCTAAGTTCAACTGATATCCGTACGTGTGCCTGTGTGTTAATAAACAAAACTACGCACATCCACAATAAAATTCATGTCCAATGCCTACAACGAAAACCGGGCGCCAAACGTCCAGGTGTTCTGCTTAACTTCGTGAATGCGGGTCACGCAACACACCCTGCGGTTTCCCCCCAACGGCATTCAGACAAACATGAAACCTATTCAGTATTGCCGTGGGTAGAAGCTAGAAAATTTGGAGAAGTTTAAAGGAAGCGATGTGGAAATCCACGTTACTCCTTCCTGTGTAGCCCAAATTTTCTGTAAAATGCCACCTGCTCACAGCTCAAACACGCCTGTGATTGGTTGACTCCGGAAGGGGAAAGTCATTCAAAGTTCATTCAAATTTAAAAAATGGTACAAACCGGTAGAAAGTTTAAAAATGGTGTCCCATATTTTTACACTGCTCCATAAATGTTGAAACTACCTATAAACTTCAAGTAGTACTCTAAAATCCAAGTAGATTTTGAGCAGCTTTACTACTACAGTTGTAAGCCACCCTGTGTCGTTAATCGGCTCCAAGAGACACCATACAAAACGAGTCAAAAAGCTCTTATAAAAGTTTCGTATGTCTCCTCCAAAGAGGAAGTTACCAGAACCTGCCAAAATTAACTCGGAGCTCACAAGTATCCACAGGTAATGTAATTATAGTGTTCCGTGACCTTTTATAGCAAGAGCTTACTTAGCAAAATGCAATAATAATAATATCAGTAATAACAACCAAGTAACACTCATCTGGTCATGAACATGGCATACACTGGTGAAACACACTCAGTTGCAAACTAATTTGGTTTTTCGAAAGACTCACCTGGAATCCAGCTGAATCTCTCGTTTGCTCGTTTTACACGACCGGATTAGACGTTCACTCAAAGCGGTGACAGCCATGTGTGATTGCCTCAACACCTTCAACCAATAACAGTGCTTCCTGGGTGTCGGCATCGTTCTTCCGTCTCCAAAAGACATGATTTGAGCAATGTCCTTCTTTATTTAATTGGAAACTGTCCCACTGAAAATTTTTGGGAAATATTGGACTGTAGGACTCTTAGATTTGAAGATCGCGAAGGACTCGGATGAGTGAATAATCTCCAAACTTGAGCTTCATCGGTTCCAATTATGGAG